AAGAGATGATAACGCGCGTTTTTTTATATTTTTTAGGACGGGGTCAAAATTTGTTTGATAGACAATAGTTTTAGCCTCACTATCTCAAAATATTTTTTTGATTAGATCATGATTTCCACGTTCTTCTAGATGATGACGAGTTTGTAGGCTTGAAAAAGTCAAGTGCTACGTTCTCACGTGAATTTTATGTTTGACAAATTCCTAATCAACTTCGAATTTCTTTCAACAGTATTTCTTTACTTTTTCGAAATTTCAACTTATGAGTGGATGTTCCTAATCCTTTACTTCGTTTTTTTAATTGTCATATGAATTTTCTGTTTGACAATTCTTAATCAACTTCAAATTTCTTTCAATAGTACTTCTCTGATTTTAAATTTTAATTTATAAGTGATTGTTCATGATTCTTGACTTCGTTTTTCTAATTCTGTTCAATGATATCTCTCGATTCTTAAGTTGATTCACAATTCAAAACTTATGAATTCATAATCGATAATCATTAAATCGATAATTACAATAGTATGTTCCTGATTCTGGACTGTAAAAGTATGTTATTAAATTTTGTTCCCAATTTTGAAATCTTTGATGGTATCGTTTTTCGCAGTGGTTGTGGAGAGATTGACTTGGATTAGGCACTGTTTTTTTTCCCCTCTAACTTTTTCCTCCATGTCTGAGTCGCATAGGTAGGGGTGAGTTAACAGAAGGAGGAATTTGCCGCATCTTGTTTTCGATGAGGATAGCTGGTAGGATGGGATTAGGGCATATCATGAACGAAGAAGGTGACTCTGTTGTGATGAGTCTTGCCGGAGTAGGGTTAAGGCGGATTGCTTAGGTGGTTTGGGTGGGTCAAGCACGTCTATTGCGGGAAGGGAGCTACATAACTTGAAGCCATGGCTACGGTAGTGTTTAGCGGATCGTCTGACAACGGGCTAATACCGTTATATCCATGAGTTCACAGCTGGCCGATGCTAGAATGACGCTGGCCGGAGCTGGGGTTTGGTTGCGCTTCCCTGTAACTTGAGTGAAGCGGGGGTTCGAGGCCTAGTAGAGAGATCTGGGAAATCGCTGAGGGTGGAAGGCATTTCAGTGGCTAACCGTGAGTTGTTGCGAGGATGACGCTGGGCGGAGTTGGGGTGGGTTACGCTGCTCTGTAACCCAACGGTTGGGGATGTGAGGCCTGATAGAGATTGACATCTAGGATAGGGGGGGTTAGGCAATTATAGTATGGTTTGTTGAATATCATTGACGTAATGTGCTTTCGTTTATGTCGGCTGCCGAATAATCTCAGTTGATTTTCATTCTTTTATAAGCAAGTCTGTTGCGCTCGGTTATTCCCAGTGGTGTTAAGAATGTTCCGAGATTCTTAGGGCTCCTAACAACGCATTGTAGGCTGTTCTGATGTTGTTATGTTCATGGATCTGTGGTTGTCTGATGCCATAACGACGCTGGTCGGTGCTTGGGTGTTGCCTTGTAACCTGTTGATAGCAGGAACATGATGCCTGGTAGAGAGATCTTGGGATGCTTTGGGGTGGGCATTGCAAGGGACAACCAAAAGTTACTATCGGAACGACGCTGGCCGGAGCTGGGATGAGTCGTGTTGCCTTGTAACCTAGCAGGGTGGAGGTGTGAGGCCTAGAAGAGCCCGACAGTGAATAAAACAGGGTCGGAGGGTCGTAGAGGGTTTTGTTTGGGGTCCCCAGGGGCTTTGAGTATTTTGAAGACTTTGGCTGAGGGCAAAGGATTGATGAGTTCACCTGATTTCCGTTATTCCTCCTCCGAGTCTTGTGAATATGGGTGGAGGAGGTCAGCTTATCGTGAGAGGAGGAAGAGTTGAGGAAGGTGTCCATTGTGTGGTTGTGGCTGCTGTTCTCATCCTGCAAATTATGTGGTGGAGGAGGTCGGCTCGTCGGGGGATGAAGAAGAGTAGGGGGTTGGAGGGAAGAGGGAGGATTGTTCCTTTGATTGTCACAACTTTTGTTGTTCTCGGTTGCTTTTGATGGTCTTGAGAATGCTTTAGGATTCTGGGTGCTTCTTGCAACTCACTTTAGGCTTCTTTGATGCTGTTATATTTATGGATCTGCGGTTTTTCGACGCCAGAATGACGCTGGCCGGTGCTGGGGGGTTTCCCTGTAACCTGTTGATAGCAGGAGCGTGAGGCCTGGTAGAGAGATCTGGGGATGCCTTAGGGCGGGCATTCCAAGGGAAAACCAAGGATTACTGTCGGGACGACACTGGCCGGAGCTGGGTGAGTCATGTTGGCATGAGGCCTGGGAGAGCTCGGCAGGGAATAAGACAACGTTAGAGAATTTTAGAGGGTTTTGCTAGGGCGACCAGGGGTTCTGAGCATTCGAAGGACTTCTGTGGCTTTCCTTTGTTGACTTAATAATTGCTGCTTGAGTAGCCTAGCAATAGGTCAGCAGTTATCCTTCAATAGTTTTTCCGAAATTTTCCTGAACTCCTTTCATAGTTCTCAGATGATTGTTCTTAGCCGAAGCCAGGTAATGGGCCTGGTATTTCAACTGATTTGTATAATTTTATATGGAACGCTGGGCCCGGTGCTCCCCACGAATAGCCTGGAGCATTTGTCCCCAGAAAAAAAGAAAAAAAGAAAAAAAGAAAAGAGAGTGTTGAAAATACCTGTGGGCGAGCCCTCCCTGCTTTTGGTGATTCCAAGAGCTGTCCGGCCGGCCGACGGGCTGGACCGCTTTGTTAGCTACAGTCTTCCCTGATTGAATGAATGCACTGTCCTTATAGCTGTAGTTGGGGCAGTGTAGATACAGTGGCAATGACCGTGCATTTTATTTGGGAGAAGACGGTGGCATTCCAATGTTCTCACCCCTACTTCTGTGAGTCCTCCTCCAAGGCCGCAAGCGGGTCACATTCCACGGCCTACTACACAAAGGGCTCGAAAATTGGTGAGGTTTATCTTGGGTCCAGGGTGCTTCTGTCCGTTTGGTGAGTTGTGCGATCAGGGCATCTTTTTGGAGTCGAGAACTCACCCCAAAATTTTCGTTTTCTTGAGTGGTGGAGCGGGCCCTGATGGCTTGGGGCCGCTGGTGCCTGCGCGGCACTGTCTATGAAGCTAATTTGGACGTTTTCGACATAATCGCGATCGGGATATTTCTCTTGTGGGCGCCGTACACGAAGGGTGGCTCGCATGAGAGACTGCCCAGCATGGGTGTCGTTCGACACCCGTATTTATCCGCATGCATCGGACGGCAAATCTGACCCGATTCTGCCAAGAACTCCGTTGTGAGCATGGTTCACGACATATACGCGAGAGACCGTTCACTGTCCCGGATCCTGCGCTCCTCGTGATCATTTCTGTCTGTCTGAGATCCGGACGTGCGCACCGGTTGGTCTTTTCGAGCTTGCCATCCGTTGATGGAACCCGTCGATCTGCGTTGTGTGCTACTTTTTTTTTTTTTTTTTCTTCTTTTTTTTTTTGAGTGTGTGCTACTTCCGTAAACCGTCGGTGAAAAAAAAAAAAAAAAAAAAAAAAAAACCGTCGGTGGATAAGTGACTGTTGATGAGCCGGCGGGAGTTCAAGTCCAGCTGTTCAAGGTATACGACCAATCGTAAAGTTTACAAAACTTGCAAAAAAAAGGAGGCCGTTACGAGCGACGATGATCCGGCGTAATGTCAGCTGAGCGGTACGGCTTTGTCAGCAAGTCGGGAGCTCGAAAAACGTCCAGAACGCACGCATCTCCACATGATGAAGACGGAATCCATTCTATTGAGATCACACTAACGATTCCCCAACCTTTCACCAGCATGTACCCATCGCTAAGGAGGCACAAAGGGGACGTGTAAGCTGCCATCCATTTGTGGGCAAGTTACAGGCATACCAGTTTGTAGAAGTATAATAAAGTATAATGAACCACACTGGGTACTGCCATACGTGGACTTTGTGGGAATGGGAATGGGAATGGGAATCGATTCACAAGGAACATGTATTCACACACTCACAAACTTCGCTTCACACACGTCAAACATGCGCCGTGCACACATCGGTAGAGCGATCTGCATGTTCCCGATGCACGCAAGAATTTTGACACTGGTATTGACAAAACCACCAAATAGTAGAGCGTTGTTAGATGTTTGGGAGGTCTTGACAGGGAACTACATTTCGCGATCGACGACTGATTCCCTCTCTCTCCATCTCTCTCTCTCTCTCTCTCTCTCTCTCTCTCTCTCTCTCTGTGTCACACACATTTCATCAACAGACACACGCACGCACACTCACACGCGCGCGCACACGCAAACACAAACGTCGCCCACACATCCTCACGCTTTCCCCGTTGCTGGGTGCTTCCGCCCTTGTGGACAAAACAGCTCCGTGGAGTCGTCATCGTGATGACCATAGCCGACGACGAATGTAACTGGGAAAAAGGCTTTGCAGCGTGGCAGGCACGAAGCTAGCAGCCGCCGATATAGAGGTCCTTTCGAGAGCCAGATACCATGTCCCGCGCCTGGATCATCGCTGAAGTTGGAGGTCTTCTCTTGGGGTGACAGGCTGGGCGTGCCTCATTGTTCGTTGGATTGTTTGCTGACCATGATCTGATTAGATCCATTCCATTGATCGATTGCGCTCTGGACTCGATCGATCCATTTGACTACGTAGTGGCAGAGCTGGATTTTGCTGCTCTCTTACAATGGAGACTCTGCATTAGTGGCATTGTCGAGAGGTATGGTTCCGTCCGCGGTCAGGGGCCGTGGAGCCGGTGAAATGAGTCTGAACTCCCGCTCGCCCCTCTCAGTTTGCCTGGCTGGTGATCTGTCAGTCCTCCTGGCAGATTATGTGAGTAACCACGACTTTCTGCTATCGTAGCTATGCTTGCAAAATAGTCCTGTCACGACGCGAGAGTTTTGTGTGTGCGGCCCGGTGTTCCGGAGGGAAATCAAAAGTCGAAGGTCGGGGGGGGGAGGGGGGGAGGTGAGTGGACTGTGTGGCGCGTGGTGATATGTTCATAGTCTACAGGCGGCTGCTTTTACAACTGAGGGGAGCGTAGTAGTGAGGTCGCTTAGAGGCGAATCAGTGGGAATGGCGGAGGATGGCGACGGTTGGAAGACGCGGTGGGCGAGGAGGGAGAGGGCCGATTCACGCGAGACTATCGACTTCGTCTGCCTGGATTCGGATGGGACGCGGGGGAGATGGGACCACAGAACTGGTCCGCAGGAGGGCATGGGGAACCAACTATCTGATCGCGGCGCGGAGTGCCGGGTCGCCCCGTCCTCGAACTTGGGCCGGTCGCTCGACCTGCCAAGGGAGTGTGTTGTCCGGTTGGCAGCGGCCCCGCCGCCCGGAGACTCTGAGGACGGTGACACAGGTACCAACAGTAGTAGTCGACGACGACTGGACGTTGCGCGGGGGAAGAGTGGAGGTACCGGCCTCGACAGTGAGGGTGAGGTCGTGGCGGCGAGCACGGACGAGGCTGCGCAGTCGGGGGATAGTGTGGTGTATTACGGCCTCCGCAGCTCGGCGGGCAGTCCTAATAGACAAACGGTGGGGTATTTCTCTCCCGCACATTCTTCGCCGGTAGCGGGCCAAGTCTTCAAATGGGCGGGTACGGTCACACGGGGAACGCAGCAACCTCCGGGGCAAGAGGTCGTGGGCGGAAGCGCGCCCGTAGCGCGTTCTGAGCAGCAGAGCGATCGCCGCGCACGGCCAATGTCGTCTCCGTCGCTTCATGAGGCGCAGGCGCACGGTCGACGCTCCACGGATGAGGTGTACTACAGCAGTAGGCGAAGTCCGAGGTTGACTGGGAGGTCGAGTGAGGGAGGAGGCAGATGCGGGGGTGTTGTTGAGCAGGCTGGAGTGGTGGTGTCATGTGTGCGACATGATCTGGAGCAGTGGTCGCTTCGTTGGGGGGTGCTAGCGTCGGGCGCTGACGAAGGCACCGCACGTTCCCCTCAGCACGAGGAATCAAGGCCCAGGAATCTCGAACAAAACGTCCGGCGCGAGCAAGAGCTGACAGTCCCGCAGCGGCCGTTGGCAGCAGCAAGGTCTTCGAGTCCGGAGGAGGGGATGCGCGATCGCCGCGAGAACGCAATGAAGGAGAAGAAAGTGAGTGGTAGGCGGAGGAGTCCAAGGATAAGTCGGGGAAGGCCGAGGGCGGAAGCAGCGGAGCAAAGTGGAGCAAGTCTGAGTGCAGGAGCAACAGAGCTCAGTGGCGGAAGGCCGAGTGCGGGAGCAGCGGCGGAATATGCGGGAGAATCGGGGGAGCTACTAAGGTCGAGTGCGGAAGCAGCGGAGCTGGTAAGTGATGGAAGGCCGAGCGCCGAAGCAACGGAGCTGAGCGGTGGAAGGCCCCATGCGGGAGCAGCGGAGCAAGATCTCGTCGTGGAGGTTGTGTCAGTGGTTTCGTCTGACGATCTCGCCTCTCCTGCAGAGCGTTCGAAGGGGAACAGCGAGAGTGACAACAACCAGGCAGCCGTGTGCAGTCCGACTCTGGCTGTTTATTTGGAGGAGAACAATGCTGCAGCTCTTCGTGACCGTCGATCTGCTCGATCTGCGGAGGAGGGTAGCAGCGAGAGATCTGGAGGAGGGTCCAAGCCGCGTCGGCACCAGAAGGTGTCGTCCCCTGAATGGAGGAGGGAGCGAAGAGCTCGTAGGAGTCTTGTTGGAAGGAGGGAGTTTGCATCCCCCTCACATGCGTCGCCTGCTCATCATTGCCGCTCCGCGGACGTCGATGGAGAAGCAGCAGGGCTAGCATCGGCAGGGGCACGACGTTTCCACCTGCACCGGCGGCGGGAGTTCAAGAATGGTGTTCCTTCTTTTTGGTCGATCCCCTCTCCTGCTTGTGGCGGGAGCTCGAGCTGTGTCTTCTTGGAATCTTCGACGGGAGGTGACAGCGAGAACCAGGACGAGGAGGAGGAGACAAACGACTGCTGTCAATCTAAGACGCTGCCCATCATCAGCGTCAGGGGCTCAGATTCGTCGGACAACGGATCCTCTTCTTCTGAACAAGGGAGGGTGAGATCTCGTCAGCATCATCGTAGTATTGGTGGGGAAAATGTCGCCTTTCAAACGACGGCAGCTCATCGGGGGATCGACGGCTACGCTGATCGGATGGCCCCTGGGGGTCTTCCTCACCAGGCAGTGGAGCCGCCTCGCAAGCCCCAAGGGATCACGATCATTATCAGCAGCAGCAGCAGCAGCAGCAGCAGCAGCAGCGACGGCAGCAGCGATGACGGAGATGACGATGACGTTCCGACTCGCTGTGCTGACAGGAGCACGGCCATTCCTCGTTCTACTGTTCATCGTCCTCCACCGCCGTCTCTCCCTTCTTTTGCTGGGCTCTCTTCATCTCCCTGCCGTTGTGTGTCCCTTTTTGCCTTCCCTCTTTCCGTGTCTACCCCTCCTCCCTCTCGTCATTCTCTCCCCGACTCTCCGGTTCGTGTTGATGCGGCGACCAGCCCTGGTCCTTGCACGAGAGGATCGGATCAGGGTGCAGGGTTGGGATCTGCGTTGGGATTTGGCTCGGCTGTGATCATCGATCTGACGAGGGAGCTCGACGAGATGGAGTCAAGCGAAGTTCGACCAGATGGGAACAATGATGGGCCCAAAAAGGTGAGTGCGCTACTGCTGCCTTCGGCCACTTTTAGAAGAGAATGTCCACACTGAGTAGGACTTTTGTTAACTACTGCAAGTCAGGCGGTAATGGAAGTCGGGAAAAGAAATTTGAGGAAGAAGATAACAGGGCGAGTATGTCGGTGGTGGGAAGCGATTGAATGTCCTGTCCAGCAGGTCTGGAATGTCAGCCCAACCCGTCGATCAACCTTTTTGCTTCCTCTAATTCCACCCCACATCAGAGCACTCTCTCTCTCTCTCTCTCTCTCTCTCTCTCTCTCTCTCTCTCTCTCTCCCTCCTTCCCCCCCTTCGCGCCCCCGACGCCCTCTTCAAACGACCTTTGTGTTTGCTTTTTTCCTCCGGAAGAATGAATCAATCGCCGTGTTTTTGAGTTGTTTGCTGGCATCCGATATGACTTGTCGCTCCTCCTCTGCGTTGGCCAAACCTGTAAGAAGACCGATCGCTCACAGGATGGCATGCACACTGCGAGAGCTGCAGAGCGGGACGGGTTAGTGAAAGGTAGGGGTGTACGTGTCGAGGAGGCACCTAGTAAGAAAAGCTGCAGACGAACGGTACTATGAAAATGGTTGTTATACCCGATTGATGAGAGATGATGGATGAAAGATGATGAATGAAAGATGATGAGTGAAAGATGATGAGTGAAAGATGATGAATGAAAGATGGTGAATGAAATGATGATGAGTGAAAGATGATGGATGAAATGATGATGATGGGTGGGATGTTGGACATTGAAAGTGGTTGTTATACCTGATTGATGAGAGATGATCGCTGGGAGATGATGGACGAGATGATTGATCGATGAAAGATGATGCAATAGAGACGATGGATGATGATGATGATGATGATGATGATGGGTGTGATGTTGGCTTATACTGACAATGGCAATGCTGACGATGATGGTGTTTCGATTGGAAGGTGTGGTAAGATTGGTGTAGCTTAACAGCATAATAGACTTCCACTTGTCAATCTTACGTATTACTGTATATTGATCAGTGTCGGTGGAAGATGGAAAGGTCAGTGGAAAGTGAAGGCAACAAAGTATACCTCTTTGTTCACAGCGCGAACTGATGAAATTGGCCGTGGTAATGTGAGTTTGTCGTTAGCTGCTTTTTTGACCCTCTTGTTTCTCTTCGGATCGAATGCAAAACAATTCGCTCTCTATTCTGTTTCCTTTCTTGTTTTTTCTTTTTTGTTTCGTTTTTCCCGATCACGTGCAAAAAATCGACGGTTGCTTGGAATGGTCTTCTATACGTAGTGGATCGCGGACCCGCCTTGCCTTAGAGATCCCGTGAAAAGAAGCTGCTGCTAGTCACTGGCGTTCTTCTCTTCTGTTTTGTTTCGCTAAAAGCAGCGAAGTGGTTGGGCTTCGAAGCCGTGAACAGAAGATGCTGCTCGTCTCTGGCGTTCTTCTCTTCTGTGGTATCTTTATAATGTTACTTAGAGATCCTTCGCACGCACGCTAGGATTCTTCTGCATGTACTTGACTGGAATCGGGGTCAGGTTCGCTGGAAAACGTTTCGGTCTGAGTCTGCTCTTGGACGTCAAGGTGTTTGCCACTATTGCAGCGTTCTCTCTGTCGCGTAGCTTATAGTTATGTATGGCTATGTGTGTGGTGCAAAGGTCTTTCCACCAGTGTCTAACATAACATACGTAGTGCATGAATGGATAGAACTTTGCAGCGGGCGTGGGGATTAGTGTTTCGTTAGTGGGGTAGCACGGGACTCTCACAGCTGGCGCAGCAGCAGTTCTTTGCCTGGTGGTCATGGAGGAGTCGGTGGCAGCGGCGCTGTCACTTGTGTGTGGAATTGGTGTACTGATGTCTTCATCAGTCGCAAAGCCCTAAACCCTATCTATAACCTAAGCCGACCCCTTTCCCCACTAAAACCCATCAATCATATCTGCACCTCAAACGCACCCGATCCCCACCCAACACCATTCACCCTCCGGCCAGCCACCCTGTGTCCACCCATCCCTTACTCAACCACCCTATGGCCATCCTATCCCTGTCCTACGCCCACCGTACACCCACTTTCAATACGCCCTAGGCCCACCGTGAATTCCGACCCCAAGCCCCCAGCCATGCACAGATCCTCACCGTTACACACTCACCCCTTGCCAAGCTAGCCTATGTTCACTCATCCATGCCCGGACTCCTTAAACCCACCACAAACCCACCCTAACCCCACCCTTAACCCCACCCTAACCCCACGCCAGAGCCACGCGAAACACATTCTAAATCCAAGAGGATGCTAAGGCAGACTACGATCTGCACCCGAATTGAACGCCCGGTCATTTTGGCTGTGTCTAGACTGAAGCCGTTCCAAATACAGCTATAAATATAATGACCGGGCGCTCTTTTCGGGTGAAGACGGTTGTTCGCCGGACCGTTCTCCTCGTCCAACTCAGCGAGAACCCTGGGCTTGCAGTCTGAGCACCAAATCCAAAATAAGCAGAGCCGCTGCTGCCCAACGTACGCGTTCAAGGAGCCAAGATCATCTCTTACTGATGGCATCTTCTTATTCTTATGCCCTTTTTGTCGAGCAAGGCACCCTCGCTCCTTCCGCGGCGCAATCAAAGAGACGCTCCTACCTCCTCTGCCCGCGGCTCGCACCTCAAATGCACACACTCTCTTGACTGTCATTGCCATCGTGTTTGCTCTGGTGCAGCTCTTAGCTGTGAAATGCCTTCCGTCGCTTTTTGCCCATATGACTCAATGTCGTTTGATGGTTGTCGCAGCCAGCCAACTCTCCCACGGACACGCCTTGTAACCTGCTCCTTCAACTTTTTCCCGGACAAGACCGTAGATGCATGGGTCTTACCTCCTCGTCCTCCTCCCTCGTCCTCCTCCCTCGTCCTCCTCCCTCGTCCTCCTCCCTCGTCCTCCTCCCTCGTCCTCCTCCCTCGCTCATTGCAGCCACAACTTTTCTTTTACCCTTTTGGGCTGAACGCTGCTTGCTAAGCACAGTGCACGTGTGCTTTTGGCAGGCGGATGGATCTGCAACCCCCTTCAGGTACCATATGTACCTTTCTTTTCTGTTAGGAGCAGTTCTTCTTGATCCTTCTGTTAAACCACCAGTTCACCTTTCCTTCTTCGTAGCAACCGAGACGTCTGAGGGCATACTCGCACCAGGGCTGTTGACACGGAATCTCGTGGTTTACGGCTATTAGATTTTACATCATGGGGAGTCCTAGTTTGAGTATGCCTGTCTTCAGTCCATCGAGAGTCCTTGGGTGCTATGAAGTTTGCGAGTGAAACGTTCGTTCGCAGCCGATAGTCATGCGACGATATGCACACTGAGTGAGTGAGTGAGCGAGTGAGCGAGTGAGCGAGCGATTGAAGTGAGTTAGTGAGCGAGTGAGCGAGGGATTGAAGCGAGCGATTGATCGAGTGAGTGAACGAGTGAGTGGGTGAGCGAGTGGGGGGAGCGAGTGAGGGAGCGAGTGAGGGAGTGACACGTGGGTACGCGTTGCGTGGATTTGATTTCACGATACAAATGGCTGAAAAACGTGTGCTGTCAAACTAGATGCAGTGGGTGGGAAGTTCCCGGGAAAGGGTTCATATTGCGAAATAAGGGTCATAACCAAGATAGGGGTTATGTTCCAAGAAAGGGGTCGTGTTTCAAGGACAGGGGTCATGTTTCAAGATAGATCGAGGGCATGGCAATGAGAGGGAGATGGTGTCTGAATGTTAAGATTGTTCAAGTAACCGGAGAACCTGAACAGCACGCCGAAGACTGACGGAACGAGGCTAGGACGGTTAGGGGATGACCGGGCGAGAGAGGAGGGGGAGGCAAGGAAGAGCAGGGGAGGGAAGATGACAAGCAAAGGGATTGGAAACAAAGAGCTGTGGAGAGTAAACGAGGGCAGCCCAGACGGATGGCAGAGTGAGGGGAACGCGGGCTGGTTGAGAGGCAGGAGAGGAAGGGGAGGCAGATAGGGCCGATCGATTGGGAGGGAGCGAACAGAGATGAACAGACACGATATAGGAAGGAGATGCTTGAGGGGACAAGGAGCGCAAGACGAGTTCCTGAAGAGGTCAGGGGGAGCAGAAAGGAACGACGAAGGCGTTTAGGTAGGAGGAGGTGGAGGAGCCGAGAGGCTGATGAGAGGAATGGCGTAGGAAGATGAGAACTGTGGAGGAGAAGAGCCGAGCGAAGAGGAAGAAAGGAGAGGGAACAAGAGGAAAGCAGGGGTTGGCTTCCGCGGAGTTAGAATGAATGAAGGATTCGTGATGTTTTTTGTTGGTCTCTGGAAAACGATGGTCATGTGCGCCAGACCTTCTCTACTGCTACGCCCACTTTGTTCCCTTCGAATCCGAACAGAGCGTACGGTAACTACCGGGGCTGTGTCTAGAGTTAAAGCCGACCCAACCGGAATAGAACGTACGGTCACTATGGCTGTATTTCTAGACTTACTGCTGCCCTGCCCCGAGTACAGCTATACTGACCTTGAGTTCAGTTCGGGTGAAGACAGAAGGGTTTATGATCTTTTCTGTGGTCTCGATCGGCACGCCCCCCAGACCCACTATTGCGACTTGTACACTCACTCGCTCTCTCCTCCCTCTTTGGTTGGTGTCTTCCTCCCCTATCGCCATCCTCCTGCCACTCTCTCAACTTTGTCTTTTCAATCTTCACCGCATTCTGTCAATCTGCCCTCCTCTTCGTCCGGACACAACGCACCCTCAGCATCAAATGCATCGGGCCAAAAACGTAGCATGTACGCATTCGTGATGAGGGTGCGGTGAGTTTGGCGGAAGACCCGTTCGGTTCCCTTGAAGCCTTATTGGACTTCTCTTTGTGGGTACGAAGAGGGAATCCAAGGCGGGGTCTTGTCAAGTTTTTTTTTTTTTTAAATCAGTAGTTTTTCTCTTGTTTCTGGTTGCATCTGGATTCGAACTTGGGCCTGTATTTCAACGGTCCGTGGATGTCCCAACTGAGCCGTTGCTCAACCAGTATCTTTTCATTATCGGCCCCGGTGC